ATTTTAGATCTCCGATAGCTCGTATCGTGCGAGAAAATGTAAGTTTGAAAATACAACGCCATAAACAGCGCTGCGCGTTTAGATAAGCGCTGGTAGATAACGATATCGTGGCGGAATCGCCGCCCGTATATCATTCGTCCAAATTGGCGAAGTTGAAATTTCCGTGGTAAAACGCGCCCGTCGCGCGGAAATCGGGATAATCATCTGCCGAAATATAAGTCTAAATAAGGAACCGTACGTTTTGGATTGCGTTTTTATCTTTTATCCCGGAACATATACATCAAGCCGTTCAGAAAAAAAAAAACTCGCTCGGCGAGCCGCGCTAGCGATTCGCGACGCGTGGATTTAACAGCGACCGGGTGAGGGGATGAGTCGCGATCGTTACGAAAACACCCTCCGTACGGGCGGTTGCTGTCCGTTTGATTCACCGTTTCCTGCGATTCGTCGTATTTTTGTCCGCGCGTGCCTCCGCGTTTCTTTCGCTTCGTCTCCCCTCCCACACCTCGTCCTTTTTCCTCGCAACTCTCAACCCCTCCCGCTATCTACGACCCTGTCGTATTTTCTTACGCCTTCAACCCTTTCTTTTTGGTCCGCGGCGCTCGTCGTCGTCGTCGCTGCCGTCCCACATGCGCCGTCGCGAAGAAAACGCGCCGCATTTCGTACCCGCACGTGTGTGCGTGCTTTCGAAAGGGCGAAGGCACGCGCGTGGAGGTGAGCCTACGTAGGTTTAATGAGCGCTATTATGACCTAGTTGCACTCGACATCGCGCACATAAATCCCCGCGGCACATTAATCCTCGCGAGCCCCGGAGTGAACTCTCTCTCTTTCGCGAGTGGCACCGGCGAGGGCAGAGGCCCAGAGGCCGGAGAATTTATTAATCGCTTAAGAAAGAAAACGAAGCCCCTCGCGGAAGAAGGATGATCGCGTTCGGAAGTGACGAGCGCGGGCTGCCGCCGCGGCTCGAAAAAATTAAGAGATTCGCGCGGTCTTTTGCGCAACTCCTGCGCCTATAAATAAAGTGGACGAGCCGGGATTTTGAAAACATGTATCTGCACCGGGAGTGAGATACATTCGTATCGCGCGAATGCGTCTATCTACAGCCATAATTAACGTATCGTGTTATTAATCAATTGATTGATCGTTAGATGATATTTAATCGTTAATTATGGCGATTATCGATTGAGACGCGACGGTTACGCGACACCTTTGGTATTCCCGGTAGATTCACTCCCAAAACGGAATAGATCTCTATCTATTTGTCTACCTGGTCGGCCTCTCTCGCGTATTCCTACGAATTTAATTAGGATTTTCTCTCTCTCTCTCTCTCTCTCTCTCTCTCTCTTTCGTGCGCCTGTCGTGAACCGGACTTTACCTCCTTCGAAAGCGCGTCCCCGGCATACCGCGAAGATACACGACGTACAAAGGCATGGCGCGTGATCGTGTAAGAAAAAGAAAAGAACAGAAGAGGAAAGGGAACGAGCGCGCGAAGAAATACAAGAAAAGGTGAAAAATAAATCCACGTTGCTGCGCGCTTGCTCGCTCGCTCGCTCACTCACACCTCTCCTCGTATCTTTATCTCTCGTCATCGCTTTCTCCCGGGCGTGATTTACGCCCGGGTTGTCTTCCTTAATTAGGTTAAGGCTCTTTGGTCCTGCTGCTCGGCCGAGAGCAGGACCAATGGCGAGAAGGATGGCAGGTAGCTTCCGATTCACCCGCGAAATTCACTCTGCTTAGCGCGAGAAACGTCTGCGACTTGCTCTCGCTCCGACCAAGAGAGAGAGAGAGAGAGAGAGAGAGAAATTTTTCAGCCGGTGTAACTCCTGATAATAAGGAGTGATATAACAATCTCTTCTAATACTATGAAGCTGAGTCTGACTGCTGCGTTCTTATAGTTCGATAATAAGCTAGATTGTAGTGCACGCATTGCTTTTGTTCTGCGGTAATATAAAAAGAACTGTGCAGCAATAGTCAAGATGAAGAAATGTGAGAGAAATAACTAATCTTGAAGTATTTTAGGAAGCAAATTTCTGCAGAGCTGGTAGAGTTTCGAGAGAGAAAGAAAATAAGGGAGAAAAAAGAGAGACTTACAGATAAGTTTCACGTGGCGCGCCTAATTAATCGCCTTTCGTTAGTCGCTTCTCGCCGGCGGTTATTACGCTTGATCGGTAGCTTTGTCCGCGCCTCGCTCCCTCGCTCCTCCTCTCTCGACGAGAGAGAGACGGATAGGGAGAGAGAACGAGAGACGCGCTTAACGAAGCGCGACACGGTAACCGACGACGGCTCAAGTAGTAACCGCCTTCTGCGCCTCGGTTGGTCAGCCGTTGCGTACTCGCAGCCACCGAAGGCCGTTCTAGGCCGTTTGGTAGCAACCGTTAGGCAATGCTTCTTGCACCGGTTACCTTAAGCGTGCGCCTGAGCGCGCCCGTTGTCCTTGCGCGAAGATTCGAGCCGCCGTGTGTGTGTCGTGCGCCTCTTCGAAAAGCGACCACGTCGACGTAATCGCCGTTGACCCGTGAGATATGGTCGCGTTCGTGATATAAAGAGTTATTTTCCTCCCTTTCTCGCGTGAAGCCTCGAGAGAGAGAGAGAGAGCCTCTTCGAACGTTCGCAACGAAGGACCAAAAAGTACTCGGCCTGGTGTACTCGGAAATGCCATCGACGGCGTCATCGTCGCGATCCCGCGAAATGTTCGCTCGCGCAGTTGCGAATCGCATTTTTCTCAGGCGCTTTGTGTGATACGGCCGACGCCATCACCTTTACGACGCATTAGGTCGTAACTCGCGGCGACACTTCGCCCGGCCTGATTTACGCCGTACGGCTGGGCGTTTATTAATTCGCGAGCTGGCCGCGCCAGCGAGCCGCGATTTAATAAAAGAGCGTCGACGCGTTATTTCGCGTTAACGTGAAACCTCTGTAGCGCGTGTGTAGCGCGCCTGTAACGCGGAATAAAAGGCGGCGGCGGCGGAGAGGAGGAGGCGGGCGAGCCGGCGGGCCGTTGCTCGCGAGGGAAACTTCGGAATTTATTAACTTGTAAGGTACGTTCTTGCGCCTGCAACACAGCCACCCAGAACTCAATAAAATGTACTTTCGTTACTTTCTCGCGGTCTCTTTTTCCTCCCTGTTCTCCACGCCGTGGCGCACGCTCGTTTATTTGTTGGCCGCGCGATAAAACTTCCTCTCCTCTCCCTCGGTTCCGTTTCTTTTTCCCCGTCTCGACGTCTCTCGCCCCCTCCCCCTATGTCCCTCCCGCCGTCTTTTCATTTAAACTGTCCGCCGGTCGTAAGAAATAATGCTGGAAAAAGTCGCTGCTCGCCTCAGTTACGAGATACCCTTTTTAACGATCGCACTTAACCGCGCCTCTTGACGCTGACGTACGATGTACACAATATTCGCGATTGCAAACGGGGAATTAAGCCCGATATAAATGCAGTCCCTTTGCTGGGGCTCCAATCGGAGGTATATACGCACCGTGTACGTTTCCCCGAGCTTTACACCGCTCGTATTGCGAAGGGATCCCTCGTCTTACTCTTCTCTCTCTCTCTTTCCTTTTTTTCCAATTCTCGCGCACGAAGCGCAGGGGCGCGCGCAAAAAATCCAGTCGGTCAACTGACGATCGGATACAACGATTATCGCATTTGCTTATCGTAATCGACGATGTTCGTCGTAAGAGCGACGGATATGCGGAGGCCTAAACGCGATCGTTCGCGAGCGGATTACGTAAGTCCGCGCCGGTCACGGCGCGGACGAAGGTGGTCGCGGCTGCAGCAGGTTTGGCCATCGTCGCTCTTGCGGATTCTTCTTCTTATTCCCCGCGACGTTAAGAACGCAAACCGAGCGTGGTAATAGCGGCGGGAGGTGTTTTTCGCGATTCCGTGCCGTTATAGGCGAACAGCGGCACGGTCTATGGTCAACTATAAAGGCCATCTGTTCGCTTTTAGAGTCTCCTTTATATCGGCCCGGTGACGTCACTCCCGCCGGCAAGATAAACCGAGAGACGGACGCCCACTCGCCACCGTCGTGTAACACCTTGCTCTCCCCTTTGTCTTCGCCTACCTCGCCGTCCGTGGTCGTGGTGCTTTCGCCGCGAGTCCGTCGAATTCAACGAGCCGCATTGACTGACGCGCGTGTTATACGGCGGGACTTTAACGAGTGTTCGTCTAATCGTCGTGAACCGAGTTTCGAGGAAAGTCCCGCGCGACTGGCCGGTACTTTTGGCACGGTTATTACCGCGAACGTCATTGTCGTCCGTAAATCATTGGCCGTGCTCGTTTCCATACGTACGAACGTCGCGTCGTCGTGACACCGCGTGGTACTCCGCGAGAGAGAAGGGGGCTCGTCTCGTCGCTGACGATCGACCGGATCAGCTTGCTCCTAGAAAAGATCGTTAGATCGTTGCTCCGTTTACGCGTTGCTCCTTTTCCGTGCCGTCGCGCTCGTACGATGACCGCTCCATCGGATAAGCCCGTCGAGAATAGAGGACCGTCATCTCTCTCTCTCTCTCTGTCAAGAATTCTTCTAGATCTTACTCTATGTATTTTGCAATCGTATATCGAAATACAGACGCGTTTGTCTGTAGCATCGTACATATAATTATGCACTGGAAATAGACCGTCAGCTTATATCAAGTACATTGTCGAGCTTGCAAGGAAATGTATGAAAATTCCATCTCGTACATATGAAATATATACGTTAGTGTATATACGAGATATTATTTGCGTATTATGGAGTATGTATGTATATACAGCAAATATCAATGGTGGCTGTTCATATCGGTCGCCAGTGATTTTTCGGCGACGGTGTCGTCGTCGGGGATTGTTTGCGATCTCATAAGCAAGGCGCGAGGTTTCGTAAGGCGGCGTTAACGCCTTCTAGCGAGGATCGATCGAGCCAGCCTGGTCGCACGTTTGGCACGGCGCCAGGCAGGCGTCCCGACGCTTTCCGAGATGGTGGACCGAGTCCGGCCGAAGGCAGCGTCCCGGCGTCAGCGTCGGCGTCGGCGTCGGGCGTCCGTCAGTGCGCGTGTGACATGGCTGCGAGGCGTTACGGCGACTTAGACGCCCTCCACCTCGCGATGTGAACACACCCGCGACACTACCCTCGCCTACGTCGATCTCGCCACGATCCCCGTACGCGCGCGCGACTCCCCAGACGCAGCGGCTATCGATACACCCGGCCCACGGAAATGAGTCAGGATTGCCGAGCGCCGCGAAAGATCGTAGCTCGTGCAAGCTCGTCGACGCGATCCATGCAGCTCGTGTGATCACCGTCTACGTCGGAATCGGCAAGAAGGAAGGAATCGCTCGTTACGTCACGACGCTGTCGTCGCCGGAGGTGCATCCTGGCGCACCCCCTCGCCGGTAGTTCCGCAAGTTCCGAGCCGCCCGCGTTGAAGGGACCGAAGGGGACGGTCGTCCGCGCGAATCTCGTAATTCCGGGACCTCGCGACTCGAGCAATCGTCATGCCGGCTCTCTGATCGCCGGACGTCACGGCGATCGCGCGCCGGGAGATCGAGACGCGTGGACAGGAACAGCGGGACGATGTGAAAGAGGAGAGAAAGTGCGAGGTGACCCGAAGCGAGATGACGAGTCGGAGGGTTGATCTCTGAAGCTCGTCGCGAGAGCCGCGAGTGCGTGCGTGCCTTATCTCGCGAAGCGCAACGTATCATTCCCAGACAGAGACCGATAGACAGATAGACGAAGCTGCATTCCCTGTAATCTCCAGACCGCGAAAACTGCGGCCGACTGTTTCCGGATGATTGTACATATAAATGTTCGCACGGAGAGAGAGCGCGCGCCATCGGTGCGCCATTCCTAATCGGACGTTGCTCGCTCAAGCTACGCGCGAAGTTTCACATATCGCACTCTCTCTCTCTCTCTCTCTCTCTCTCTCGTTTGGTGTCTGAGCGGAGCTGAAATAAATTATTAACAGAGAAAAAGAGAGAGAGAGAGAGAGCCGGACTCGCGCACGACGCGAATCTATCCGGAAATTCGAACGCGCGAAACTATTCCGTGTTTCTTTCCGATTCGTAGCTCCACGTTCCTCGGCTGAGAGAGCGCTCGATGGACGATGAGGCGATCTTGAGCGAGAACCCTCGGGATCCACGGTCCCACACGCTCGATGAGCCACGCGGACGGTGCGAGTGACAGAGTGGCCGGGGGGCTGGGCGTCGAGACGATTTCGGGGGTCTGACTAGGGGGTGTAGCACATTGACACGGCGCGCCGTCGCGGCGCTCGCGAAAAGTGCAGAGAACGAGGGCGGGAGAGGGAGGCAGAGGGGAGTGGGTGCATGTGAATGTGCGCACACGTGCGTGTCTCTGTGCGAAGTGCATAAACCGACGATGGGATATCGGTGAGATCACGAGGTCACCGCAGAATGCCTGAGCCGAGGGCAAAGCGCTGTAAACACTGTGACGGTACGCCACGTCGACGAGTGTGTGTGTGTGTTGCGCTCCTCCTCGCTGTGTGACCGGCCCCTTAACACACGCACCAATGGCTACGACTAACATCTGCTGTTGACTAATAAAGAGCCTTGCGAGTCCCAGCCGACTGTGTGTGCGCCGTTTCAGATTTCCCATTAACCCCCCTCATCGTCGCGGAGTATCCGAGCAACGAGAGACGGACGATCCGTCCGGTCCCGCTGGGTCCGCGCGCCAACTCCACGACGGAGGTGAGACGAGTGTGCGGCGAGTTACCTGCCGAATGTAGGCGCGAGTAACGAGTGCTGCTACTTGACTCGCCTCCGAACGCGGCTCCGTCATTAAGAGTCACGTCGCGTGCCGATACGTCGTCGTGTATCGAAAGCGAGATCTCGCGCGATCGCATGACGCGTCCCGACACGCTCAGGATCGATTTTCTCGTTTTAACTCGCCGGAGCGTAATGAAGTTCTCCGGGAGCGACGAATTAATTAGGACGAGGGGCGATTCATTCGCGGGCCGTTCGCCCCGATGAGCGGGCTAACTCGACGAGGCGACTTCGCGCACGTCCGAAGTTTACTTCGAAGTCGCCCGCCACGGCGGGACTTTTCGCGAAACACGCGGCTTCTTAACTGGGATAAGACTATTTTATTTGTGGGTCATTTATTCCACGACCGCGGCCGGACATTTGGACCGGGGCTTGAGGCAGACCGAGACGAATGCGCAAAGCGCATTCCGGATCGGCCGGCGACCACGTCCAACTGCACACCTCCTCCTCCCTTCCCCTCGCCTCTCCGCGCGCGTCGCTCACCGCCGCGTTCTCCTCCTCGGGCTTTTTCTCTCCAACCCTCTCGCCCGGCCGTCTTGCTGCTTTCCTCTTCTCTCCTTACCTCTCGCGCTCTGCTCCGCCATAGTATTTTTACCCACGGTTGTTCACCCTCTTATCTGTAAGTGCGGTTGACGGTTATCCGGCCGGATCAGCCGTCGATTTACGCGCGATCCGCGACCTGCGACGCCTAGTCGACGAAATATCCCGCGAGATTCACTCCGAGACGAAATTTTAGACCCGCGTTAAGTCTAGTTTAGTTCTACATTAAGTCTTCAAAGCTTTTCTGTTATACTTTCTTGATGTTACAAATGCTATTGCCGTTTTCTTCACTTGAATATTCAGGCTTGCTTTTCTGTTTTCTGATTAACTTGCGGTTTAGATTCAATAATGAATAATAATTAGACTGATAATAATACGAAAATTGTGTTTTTCTATTCACGCTTAATCATTAAATTCATGGCTTTGTAGTGGTTAAAATTGAACGATACTAACTATTGAATAAATAAACAATTTTTACATTATCATCAGGTTATGCCTGAGCCACAAGTTAACCAGAAAATGAAAGACCTGGTCTTAATGTAGAATTAAAAATTTCGACTCGGGACCGACGAAAGAGGGTCGGTCGTCTAGGAGTTCGGAGGAAGGAGCAGCGGCTATTTTAAAAATCGTATTCAGAAGCAGGATCTCTCGGTAGCGGACGCGGGTTTATTTGAATTTCTTTCGCGATTAAATCCCTCTTGTAAACACACCGCGTCCGTGCAAGTGTGCTAACGATCACTCCGGTTCCCAGTATTGACCTACTTTACTTTGTTCAACAATTTCATGCCGGACGTTCGCTTTCTTTACTGCCGCATCAGTCGGTGCCTTTGTAAACACCTTCGTCGTCGTGAAGTACAGAGCCAGATTCTGGCTCGGTAAGTGCCGAAGTGGCGGAAATTCTCTATGCATTCTTCCGTTCTCGCGTGGTCGTCGTTCCCCTGCAGCCGGCAGGGAGCGACAACACGCGGACGCCGTTTCCTACGAAGACAAACCTCCTCCTCGCGGATGACAAATGAAGTCGGCGCGCGTATTTCCGTGGGCGCTACGACGTGCTAATTATACATCGGATTTTACGCGAAGTGAATCCGACGGGATCGAACCTGAGTCAGAAAGCTTTTTAGCCCGCCACGATGATGCGTGGTGTTTGAAAAAGCGGAAATTCCTTTTCGTTCTTCTTTCACCGGGTAGCGCGTTCTTAATGAACGCGTCCGCGCCTTCAAGCATTCTTCGAGCCGCCTGCCTCGTTAGATTTCGGAGATCAAACGGAACACAAATCTTGGTCGCGCGTGAAATCGAACATTCCGATCCGATTCACAGATTGAATATTTGATTCCGGAAATTGGAAGTAAATTCGGGAAGGAATTTCTCGCGTATGCACGTTGTGCAACCTCGCGACAATCTCGGCATCCTGAAACGCGCGCGGGGGTTTCCATGGATTTATTTAACTTTCGTTCGCGGAATGCACGTCGAAAGTCTTACGTCAGTATCCCATGAGTATAAAGCAAACGAGAGCCGGGCCTCTGCGCGAATATATAGAAACGATGATGCGATCTCGCTTGAAAAAGTTGAAGGTTGCGTGCTTGAGTTTTGTCTCATCGCGTACGCGAGTAATATATCGTCCATTTGCATCCAGCTTCTCTCTCGTATTTTCGAGAGAAACGATAACCGCGCGAGACGAGGAGAACAACGAAGTTTTATTCTCCCTCCGTTTCTCTCTCTCTCTCTCTCTCTTTCTCGCAAACTTCTCCTTCGTCTTCCTTTTCTCTTTTTCGTCTCCTTTTCTTCTCCTTCTCTTTTTTATTTTCACGTCGTTTGATCGCGAAGCGTTACATAACGCGAAGCTTATTTCTATACTTCTTTTCACGCGATGATCACCGAGTCCGCGGTCAATAAGTATAAAATCGTCGGCGCGCGTGGGCGTTGACAATCGTATGACCGCAGGGAGGATCGTTCGCCGAGTGGAGACGATCGATAAATCTCGATCTAAATTTATCTTCCTCACGGGAACGTGTTTCGCGCGGCTCGTAATCGTTCGCGCTGCTTTTTTCGATTTACGGCCGGCGGCTTCCAGCTATACGGTTTTACAGCTTCGCTTCGTTGCGTAAACGCACGTTATTTCGCTTGCTGTATACCCGTAACTTCGCGACGATTATTCATTCGCGTCTCTAGTGCTCTGGGAAAGACAGGGGACGCACAGAAGAGAGAGAGAGAGAAAGAGAGCATCTCCCCGCGTGGTATATGGTCCGAGATTTTTGGACGACTTCGGCGGGCTCCATTTCGCAACGACGATGACGACGGCGACGACGACGGCATAAAAGTGATTCGTAGGTACGCGAATGGCTCATAAACATAGAGCCGAACAGCTGTCGATGGAAAACACGGGTTAAATTTAAGCCTGACTACGTTGGATATCCGGCCGGTCTTGACAATAGGTCGGGGCACAGATTCATTCGGTTCGGGCGCGAGCGAAATGCCCGAGCGAGAAGCGCGATCGTGCGTTCGTGCATGCGTTCGAATGCGTGATCGCAACAGATGTGATTAATCGTTTCCTCTGAAAACCGTTCTCTGGTCGCGCGCGCGCGCGCGCAGCAGTCAATAGCGAGGCGTGGAAAGAATGCCGCGTACAAATATTATGGGAATAGGTCTGAGAATTTCGGGACAACCGGCGTGGTCGCCCACGCTCAGCATGCGTAAATTAAATGGCTTTTAAAGAGCAACTCTTTCGAGCGACTGGGTTTACTGTGTAAACGTTGTAAATTTAGGCGGGCCTAGGCGAGGGTGAGAACGTGAACGTGCGCCAACAGGTGGGTCGTACGTCATTTTTGTCCAGTCGTCGTCGTTACCGTCGCCCCAACTTTTCCCTCGCATTTTTTTCTTACGTATCAAGTAAGAAGACACTGTGAGCGAGGTGGTCGTTCGTCAGACACCTTAGTAGAAATTGAACCTAGCGGGTGTCTAGCCAACGAGGTAGTAAATTTGTTTCTAACATCGCTAGCCAATAATGTAACGCGCTCACTAGTCGCTACGATAATGGCTAGATAAAGAAGCCAGCTGATGGTGAAACAAAAGAAATTATTTATGAGACAGAAAATCATAACTAGTTGGCACGCAGTAATGTAACGCTCATTTCTGCTTTAAAAAAATTTTTCTCGAAATAACGAACACTCAATTTTCATTTGTTATTTCATATTTAATACGCTAGCGATGCGTATATAGTAGCTAGATTATACATTTTAGATTCAAGATAAACAGTGCTATTTACCGTATCATATTTGATATGCAATGACTAGACAATGGCTAGATCACGAAACCAGTTCTACATTTTAACGAGTAATCAGCCAATAACGAACGGTAGTAATCTAAGAAATTTAACCTAGCCTGTACCAGCCAGTTACCAGCTTTTGATTCAGGTCGACTAGTTATATTTCTATTCTGAGAGTTGGTCTCCCCGATGAGTGAATCAAGTCGAACGTCCAGCGCGACCTTCGCAGGATTCGCGACTGTATTGCCGCTCAGTCGCGGATGAGAATTTGGCAGCTTGCGATTCTGGACGACTCTTTCGATTATTTATCGGTACGGTATGCGCGAAGCGTGGGCGGTTTCCCCCTCTTATATCCCATCCCCTTGCCGTTTCCTGGCCGGACTCCAAAGCGCGGCACCCTCACACCTATGGATTATTTCTCGCACACGACGTTCGAGTCGTGAGTGTTATGCGTCCGCCACACTAACGACGACGACGTCGTCTTCGAGTGGAAGTCTTACGCGAGCGCCCACGCGCGGTTACAGGCTTACGTGTTACGTCGTCGCGATTACGTGCATCCTCCCGCCGCGGACTGCGTTCCACCGCCCGTGACGTTCGCGAACTTTCGGGCTCGTTCGACGCGTTATTAACCGCGTCAAAATACACCGGCAGGATCGCGCGAAATTGCGTTCTCGACGCATTACGGTGACGCGCGCGAGACGCTTCTTTTAACGCGCGCGGAATACGAACGTTGTCATTTATTCTTGACGTCGCGTCGAGCCGGCGTGTTTTCCTCGTTCGAATTAGCTGGAAGCCGGAGCGATCCGGAAAGCGCCGGTAGGCGGAACGGGGATAAGCCTGATACAAGTGTTTACGAAATGCAGATTGGA